ATGTAAATCATATCTGCGTATTCTTCGTTAGTATATTGATATGGCATTTTTAATAATTACCAAATACAATAAAAAATATCACGGAAAATACTGAAAAAACAATAATGACTGACAGAAGATGCAAATACAAATGACATAAAAATGTGAAATGCCAATTCCAAGGCCTATAAGACAATCTAATAATAAAATAATTATACTTATTTATTATTTACGAATGTAACGTTAGGTCCTAAATACCTCCTTTCGTATACTGCATATACTGGCCTTCAAGAGCGCCTGACTTTAATCCGCTGGATTAACACGTTTGGGGACATCTAAAAACAAAAGTATATTCCACTCCCATAAATAGTAGGGAAGAACTAGTTGGGAGGATAGAAAACGCGTGCGAAGAAATGAAAAATAATCCCGATGTACTCAGAAAAGCCGTCAACCATATTTTAAAACGAGCAAGAAAATGCATCGAACAAAATGGAGGTCATTTTGAACAGCTCTTGTAGTTTTTAGTAGGAATAAGGTTTATTACTTCATTTCCAACATTTGTATTTCTTTGTATTATTAATTGTTATTTTGATTTGTTTATTATGTATTAATTAGTTATTATTTATGTGTTTTTCCTTTAATTGTAAATGTTATTATTTGTTCTACTGAATATTAGTCTCTTTCCATATTATTATCTTACATAAAATTTATTAAAACTTACATGGAATAATTTATGCAGGCTGCGGTCGAAAAAAAAAATAATTCTGATTTTTGGCCCTGAAACCGGACCTGAAATTATTTTTTGAAATGGTGTAGATGCATGCAATTATAAGTATTGACATATCTGTAGCTTTTAGAAATATACTTCTTTAAATGATTTTAAATATACCGTAATAAAATTAATAAAACTCCGTCCGTTTCCAGTTTGTACCTCCAAAATGCTCAAAAATAACAATTTGGACTTATAATTTCAATAGTAAAATCGTCTGAGCAAAAATAAAATGTACATTATTAGATTCAGTTTTTTGTGCTCTTTTCAAATATGAAAACAAAAATTTCAAATTCAGACATACAGGATGTTGTTTTATTAATTTTTTGTAAAGGCGGACCTGGATTTCGTTTCTTGTTTATACCTTTTTAGATTTGGTAAGTTACGGTGAATAAGTACGCCAAATGTCAAAAACATATACAGGGAGGTTAATAAGTTATGAGTCTTGAAAGAAATAGGCCAAATTGATAAAACACCCTGTATCTCGGCTATAAAGGTCGAAAGACCCATTAAGTATGGGTTATTTGGAAGCACCTCGGTGATCTCCATCCATGGTTAAAGGGAGTCCCTTTACCAATGAAACACCCTGTATAAATTTTAAAAACTTTTAATTATGTTTAAGCAAGTTTATGTCTAGAGCCTGGGTACCTACGTATCTGCAGCACCTATAGGTACATTTTAGCAAACATTTTTGAGATTAAGTATATCTGAAATGAAAGTTTTGTTTTCAAAATAAACCGTAAGAATAAAAAATATTGACTAGACAAAATACTACTTTATTATCTTTATATATAACTTAAATATTTTTTCTTTTTGATGACTTTCTTTATTGAAACTTTTTGACTATGGTAAATAATTAGATATTTTCTTCTTTTTCAGCTTGTGGTTTAACAGTGGCGTAGATTTTTCGTGTAAAGGTAGGAGAATGAATGTGTTAAAATAAATAAATAGTTATAGCAAATTTTAAATATTTAATGAGTAATCAATGTTATGTGTATAAAAACTATGTATAGGCACAGGGATATTATTTTTTCTCATTATATACGAGGGACAGGCGCAAATATATATGGTTACTGTTGGTCAAGAAATAAAAGTAGGTATTTTAGGTACGTTGTAGGATTTATTTAAAAAACTTTTTTGCAGAAATAATTTAAAATTGTGAGGTTTATTGCCTAGTAATTAGGGTTGCCACCTGTCTTTCTTTGAAAAGGTCAGTCATATTTTGAAGCAAAATGTCCTTGTGATTTTTTAAGGCTTAAACTATCCTTTTTACGACAAATGTCTTCTATTACGACAAATGTGTTTTTTCTAACTGACAGACATATTTTTGAAAGGGACATGGTTTGCAGAAAAATAAATAAGCTGAGGATCTTTTTTGTTTTTTTATTGTTTTGGTTTTTGTAGTTTCTTTTGTTATTTTTCGTTGTTTTTTGTTTTGTTTTTTTTTAGGATCAAGGCAAGACAAGGATTTTTTTTGTTCAGCTTGACCCTTTTTTTTAAAAGGTCGGTATGAGGAGGATAATTATTTTGTTTTTTTATTTCACTAGAGGATTTTTTTGACTTTTTTTGACATTTTTTGGCTTTTTTGCTTTTTTGGCGTTTTTGTTTTTTTTTGGCTTTTTTAACTTTTTGTATACCAGAACGCCTGTCAGCATCGTAGTCCTTGTTTCACTTTTTAAAAAGGTGGCAACTCTACTAGTAATTAAAAATATGCATATAATCTTTTCAGATTTTGGTAAATTAATCTAATAATTTGTAAATAAATATAGAGTTACTTTATTCTCTAGCTAAAATTATATTTTTGGGTTTCAATCGATTTTAAAAATGTTTTGTAAATCTCTAGGTTGGTTTTTAATTTTTTTTTACGTAAAAAACAATTTTATATCCAAAAACTTTGCATTAAATAAAAAAGTGCCTACGTTAATTCGTAAAATTAAAAAAACTGTAAATATTTTTCAAACGATCAATAATTGAAAGGAAATTTTTTAATTTTAGCTAGTTTTTTGAGTGTTTTGCATCATTGATGTTATTATATTTACATCAACGATTTTGTTTGGGATCATTCCCTTTCTCTCTGACAATAAAGATATTTAATCCCCGCTATTTACGTCTTTTGAAATCATTTATTAAGAGTTTCATCTTTTAGAATTTAATTCTAAGATGTGTTAGCTCTATAATAATTGATTTCTGATGTACATTCTTGGATTAAATAGACAAGGCTGCAGCAATACTACTCGGTGATATCTTATATAATTATTAAACTTACTTGAATCAATCACAGGTATAAACTTAAAATTCTTGTTTTTTTCTTCCGTAATATGTCACTAAAGTGTTTGATTTTGGTATGTTAATAAATTGTAGAGTATCTAGGGGCTGTATTAGAGATAGGGAATGATAGAATGATTGTTGATGTTGGAATGAACCGACGTCGCCGGCAAGAGAAGATTTCCGGAGTGTAAGAAAATATCTGGATATGGATCGAATAATGCCGTTAGTAGGATGAAAAGAAAGCAGCATGGTTTTTATATAAGGTGAGTCTTTTTTTCAATACCGTTTAAATTATTCCGTTTAAAAATGATGAAGATGCCCTTGTTCTAGTAGAAAACAGAGTTATAATGGTTTAATTATAGGTATAATATCATTTTTTCACAAAAAAATATGTGTGTGAGGGTTGCGTTGGCATCGGAATGATCCATTTGTCACATACTTTTATATAATTACGAATGTAAAAATTATATTTTTATAGAAGGAAAATAGTCAACTTCACACCAATCTGATACTTTTAAAATATTTAAATATTTATCATCATAAACAATTTTCTTTTTTCTTGTCAAGAAAGTGGGTTATTTTGCATAGTACATAGTTAGGGATATTTTAATTTTTTTCTCGTATATTGGGTGAAACAGTGTTTCGATTATTTTGTACAGGTTTGGCAAAAGTTGATTTGATGCTATTAAATCATTTAGACAAATATCTGGACAGAATACTATAGGACACCCGGAATATATCCTACACCGGCACGTGTCGCAAGAAAGTTTTTTATTTCGCTAATTTCAAAATTTTCAGATATACCGACTTAGTTATTTTAAATAAAAATCCAGTACCTAATTAATAATACCTAATTCTAATTTTTCTCGAACTGTTTTTAAGAAAATTAAACAAAATTACGTCACAGCTCCGTGAAATAAAATGAGAAAATCTTAAAAAGAAATCATTTCAAAACACTTACGTACCTACCTTTATGCCGAATTTTAATTATAGAATGTGCTATGAATTTTATATTTCTTTTGAGACATCCAGTATGCTTCTACTCTTTTATAAAACGTTCATAGCCAATCTGAAAAGTACCTAATACGCAAGCCATTTTAGCTATCTATATTACCTAAATAATGAACAAAATAAATATATATATTTCGAAAATAACTTTCCTTCCCTTTCTGAAACACTGTCAACTGCCTGACAAATTAATCGCCCATCCATCACACAAATCATTTTCTAACGATTTCGTATAAAATATAAAAAAACCATAATTACGTGGATGTGAATTTACAAATACAGCGTGCAAAGCTCAATCGAATAACGAATTGTCAATGTTGCCACTATTAAATTCCCTGTGTATTTAAAACCCACGTTATTTTGCCTTCTGTTTGCACTTTAAACATATCAAAACTTTACTCCGAAGACAGTGCATTTGTTGATTGTTGAAAAATGGTTGGAAACGATTTGACTTGCTTGTTTTTAGATCTATCGACGAGTGCCTGAACTAAAATGTTGCTAAAACAGGGATAGTCACGTATATTATTTGAAATTTCAACTTGTTTTGATTTGAGAATTGGTTTCAAGGTAATTGTATTTGTTTATTAATAGAAGAAATCGTATTACATTTTTGTATAATTGTTTAAACTTTTATTTTTATTATTATCATAGTTACATTATTTATATTGGCGTCAGCAACTGCTCTGATTTATTTTAAAAACGTCTACAAAATCTTAGCTCTTTAATTTGTATAGTTTTCAAATTTATTAGAAAATAAAATTAAACTCAATTAAACTCTCACCTTAATGTGAAATTTTCAAAATAGGATGTATGTCTTTATTGACTGTCCTATAGAATAATTTGTAGTAAGTAGGTACTAAATATCTTTATAAAAGTTTCAAGTTTCTTAAAAATGAATATTTGCCTATTAATAAATATAACAAAAGCTGATTTTCAATTATTTTAAACTTTGATAACAAAAATAAATCTCACTTACCACGAAAACTCTTTCGTTAACACACGCCGACATCTTTAGAAGTTTTATTTTGAAACTTTATGTTTTAAAAATCTGTCCGATCACTTCACAGAAAGTTGCCTAAACACTATCACTAGAAAATATTCGAGAATGAAACTTTTTGATGTTTTGGATCAGCCGGTAAAATTATGAATGTAACATTTTATGACCAAACTACGTTTATATTCTGGCAGCGTTGGAATGTGCAAAAATAATGCGAATAAATGAAACGACGCTCGGCGTTGCTTGACGTCACAGGACATATTTTTGATATTTTTCTGGCGCTGATGAACTGTACACACGCAGGCCACTCATTCCTTAGGTATTTTTCACTATTTTTGCGGATATTGGGAAGACGGAAATAAAAACAAGCAAACTAAATATATTTTTAGAAGCGCTAAATCTGTTAATGCCCTTATAGGAACTAAGCAGTAGTATTATTTTGTTTATACAGGGTGTCTGTAAAAGGTATTTACAAAAACATACCACATATTCCTTAGACCAAAATAAGTCGATTTAAGTAAAATTACCTCAGTACAAAGTTGCTTCGTTTGGGCTATAGAGGGCCTTGAAATTTTAAATCGTTTTCCCATATAAATTTAAAACGGCATATGCGATTTTGCTGAAATTTGGTATAATGGTAGAGTTTTATGTGGCAAAAAAAATGGTATTAAAATTTTGTCCGATAATAATACATAGGCGTAGAACTTGATTTTTTAAATAATTGCACCTTTAAAAATTCTACGCCAATGGAAGAAAAGGAGTTTGAATATGAAATTTAGATTGCGCAACTCATTTACTTTAAAAAGGTACTCTTGATAAGACTCGATTACTCTCATGGTTTTCGCTAAATTTCTGTTTTAATAATTTAGAGTGTATAGGTTTCATAAAAATATTTATTTACAACAATCAAAATAGAGATTTTACAAAAATTGTTCAAAATGTTCACCATTTTCACGCATACAAAGATTTATACGTCGAAGAAAATTAAAATGTATCCTTTCCATAACTTCTTCATCACCTCTAAGATTGTTTACTGCATCTTTAATACGTTGCCAGAGTTGTTCCTCATTTTCTACAGGTAAACTGTGAACTTCAGATATCCCCATAAAAAGTAATCCATCGGTGTTAGGTCTGGGGAACGTGGTGGCCAGTTTACAGGTGCGTCATTACCTCTGCCTATCCATTTATGTGAATATTGTTTATTCAAGTGGTTTCTAACGTTTAAAGAAAAATGTGGTGGAGCTCCATCTTGCATAAACCACATATCTCTCCGAAGTTGGAGCAATTCTAGCAACGTATTTTGTAGAAACTCCAAATAATTTTCTCCAGTTAATCTTCGTGGAAGTATGACAGGACCAACAATGAAATTACCAATTATTCTAGCCCACACATTAATTTTGAATTCGTGCTGAAAATGGTTTACCTTTATTGCATGCGGATTTTCAACGGCATAAACATGTTCATTATGGGTATTAGTTATACCTCTTCTTGTACAACCCGCTTCATCGGTAAAGAGAACCTTCTTGACAAAGTTTGGATCTCTTTCTGTTTGCATATTAACAAATCGACATAAACCCAAACGAATTTGAGGATCATGGACTAATAATTCTTGTACTGGCTTCTTATGGTATGGATATAGCAATTGTTCTCTAAGCACTTTATGAAGACATCTTTACTTACTCCTAGTTCCCTTCCAATTCGTCTGGTGCTTAATTCTGGATCTTCTTCAACAAGTTCTAAAATGTCTTCTTCCACTTCAGGAATCCTTACAAAACGTTCTCTTCCATTATCAACAGTGTTGGGAGCAAAGGAACCGGTCTCCCGAAGACGTCTCTCAACAGCAGCAAAAGTTGGGTGGCTAGGTACACGACGATTTGGAAACCTTTCAGAGTACACCCTGACACTCTCTCTAACATTTCCTTCACAAAATCCTAATGTCAGTAACATATCGGTATATTCTGCATTGGTATATTGTACAGCCATATTAATAAACCACGCATTTGTTTTTTTAATTATTGAGTCAGATAGAACACTTTCAATCGTTAACACTTTCACTGCTGACTTTAAACTGATAGTTGTGTCAGGTGCGGCAATAGTGTTTTTGGTGAATGTGATACAGTTTAACGTCAGAATTCAACTTTTTTTGTGACATGATAAATACGATGACACTTATCTGTTTTTGACGCGTGACACCGATTGGTGTCAAGCGCACCTGACTAAGAATTTCTTGTTTAGTGCTAACCGACACCGATCGGAGACACATATATTTTAGACTATTTTATGAAAAGTACAGAGTACAGGTGCTAAGTGCTAAATCTGGGCTATCTGCTTTTTTATAATACAAAACATAATTCAACAAACAAACATATTTTTATTATAAAAACACAAATAAAATATATTTTTAATAAACAAAAGGTAACCGAACTAGTAACGTAGGTAAAAAAAAGGTTACAAAAACATTAAAAACATGAAAGCTTTATCAACATAATAAAAATTTTAAAAACTTTAAAACGGGGTTGCACATATTATACAACAAAGACAAAATCTATTGCGCATGCCCAATGCCAAAACATTTAACACAGAATCCTGGCTTATCAGACGACACTAAAAACCGCGGAAACCTCGGAAGCGCTCGGAACTTTCCGGGGTTACTCGGTAAATAGCCGTAGCGCGGAGGAGCGATTTGAATTGTGACTAGAGGGAAAAAGAAAAAATCAATAACTAACCCTAAAATTCTGTTGTTTACCACAACCAGACTTTTGTCAATATATAAAAGGTCAGTGCTTTTGTCTTTGATCGCTATGAAAGCTGGTTATTTTTGTGACGATTATTTAGCGAAAAATATTAAGTATGGAAACTCAAGGTTTTGATAACAAAATGTGTCCTTTCTGCAATTTGGAGTTTTCCTGTTTCTTCAAAGAGTAAATATATATAAAAAATATTCACAACCAGCAAGAGGTCTCACATGCTAAGAAATCACATATTATTTGCCCATTGTGTTTTGGAAATGAGTTAGTTTGTGTAACTTTTAATAAACTGTTATATATTAAATGCAGGTATAAATACAAATATGGTACTAGAAAGTTAAAACAATTTAGTTAACGTAAATCAGCTGAAGTGAAAAACAAATGTAAGAAATTGAAAATTTTGTTGATGGAAAAATGTGGCAAAGGATTCTGAAGGTTTACTAATTTTAACCAACATATTCACTTCCTCGTTCACTTCATTTTAATATCTAATATTTCATTATATAATTATTTGTTTTTTATAGATGGAAATACCACATTCATATATTTACCAGAATGGAGGATGTGATTAAAGCACATCTTGCAAAAATAATAAAAACAATGTTTGAAGTATAAGAGGTAGAAGGTTTGGCGAATTTCATTTAAAGCCTTCTACAGGTGACAATTATTTACAAAATATTTTATAATGAATTATGTTCGACCGAATGCAGAACTTCGCATATTGTAGAATATGTAAGGTATGTGTTCACCGCTATAAAAGTGACTGTGTAGAGTGTGCTATAAAAACTACAGTGTGTAAACATGTACATTTCGTATGTTATGTTTTAGGTGACGTTGCCAAACTATTATCTGAGGAAAAGCTACCAGATATTTAAAGGGGGACATAATGAAGAAATTAAAAACTTTATTAGAGAGAAGAAATCTGAAAATAAATGTTCAACTACAATAGCTAGAGAAGCAAAGTGAGAGGTACAAATTTAAACTCCATTTTTTAAGATACCTGAATAATGATGCATATAATATAGTAATGGAACCATTTTTCCATGTATGCAGCTAAAAATTATATGTAACAACCAGCTAGCCTAAAGACCAACGCTCGTCACCAAATGTAACAACCAGTTATGTCTAAAGACCATTTGCAACTACTGATAGGTCTTTAGCTACTGTTACTATACTATTAAGGGATAAAGGCAGCGCTTGTCACCAGCCCTAGGGTCCTGGAGTCCTGAAGGAACATCCATTCGCCAGTGGCAAAATAAAATAAAAGAAAATAATAAAAATACAAAAAAAAAAAAAACATCCCTTAATAGCATATGTCGAGCGGTTTTGGCAACTGACTTAAGACTATCAAGTCCTTAAGGGTAGGAACGCCGAGGCTTAACATGCTCGGAATATTTCTTACTGGTTTTTGGAAAGAGGTGAGAATAAAATAGGTTAATAAACAATAACATGTATATTTATATATAAGTAAAAAAATTATTATTATTTATTCTAAGTTTATCTAAATGAAATATGTATATATGCCTATGTATGTATAGCGTGACTTTTATTTTTGATTAACTATCTAAAAAACTCTCAATTACATCAAAAATGCAACATGCTGATAATTATTTTTTTTTTTGTACACAGTTAATATAACTTTTTTTAATGAAAAGTATCGAAATTACACAAAAACATCAAGAAATTGATTTCACGTAAATAAGTGCAAATAAACAAAGTAATATAACCAGAGAGAAGACATGTCTTATCTCTGTAATATAACCAAACGGCCGTTGAAATTTGAGGTTAGGTTCTATTTTTTTGACGTGAAATCTGTAAATAGCAAATATTCAAAATTTCCGCCAAACTCCATCTACCGACCGTCTCCGCAAAGTGCCGAGCGCTCCCGAGGTTTCCGCGGTTTTTAGTGTCGCCTTGGCTTATCGGGGCATCTTTTGCAATGGTATTAAGTAGCTTTTCGTATCTTTTGTTAAAAACATACCCTGCAATGTCACTTCTTAAGAGGTCTTCTTCTGTAAGTTTCTTAGGGTTATTATGCATTGGTTTAGCCTTTTTAGGGTAAGACGGACGTGGTGCACTTTTATCCATCTCAATCCGTCAAAAAATCTTAGAATCGAAAACTAAGAAATAATTTACAAAATTCTAACCTTAAATACCACGCTTACAAACATAAATGCGTTTTACTGCAGTGCTAAGTTTACACTGGCTTACTTCGTAAAGACAAACAAGCGACACCGATCAGTGTCGGACGCATTGTGCATGCAA